TGACTTCCCGGGGTTTCTCCATGACTTTTCCCAGAATTTGCAACGCCATTTTCTTCAAACCTATCTTCATAAAATGTTTCGAACCGTAAACCTGCTCAGCCAGACGCCGCAAATCAACAACTGTTGTCACCGCCAACCCGTGATCTCGGAGAAGCTTGTCGGCATCGTCTTGAACCCCAACGCCCACAAAGGTGAAGCGCGGATGAGCTAGAAAGGCAAAGAGAGAGCGGGGAATGTAATCCTTGTGCAAAAGTAGAAAAATCAAACATTTCTCACCAACGCAGAGCTGCAGTGTGGCGGCCGGATTTTGTTCCCCTTCTTCAAAGCAGGGGTGCCACTCAATGTCGAGGCCGACGACGACGGGGTGACTATGAAGGAAAGGAGAGTGATCGTAAAGAATGTGGTTGACCCATTCATCAACCTCGGCGGCTCTCTTTGTGACGGTGACCAAGAGATTGTTGCCGTGAAAGTGAACTTGGTGTAGCCCAAAGGAGTGGCTCTGGCGGAGGGAGTGGCACTCGCTGAGTCGGCGAAGCCTGGGTGGAATCATCCTTTGGAATTTCATTGAAGAATGAAGAATAAGCGATTCGAGTGAGAGTGCGATCGAAAGCGAAAGCTGGTTGAAGAAATTGAGTAAGTGTGAGGGAGCGCTGGATAGGGCGGTATATATATAAGTTTTTAATTACTTGGGAACAAAGTTTTTGATAACGGTAATATTTGGATTTAGGAAATTCAATAATTTGAATGTGCATGCAAGCTTGCTATTCTCCGTATTGGATCTTAGCTTTAGAAATTTATCAAGGCTGTGAAGTAAAAAGTTGAGGAAACAAGCACTATCCTACCAACTCTAGCATGATATATACCTGAAAATCAGAGTTCCCAGCCACTTAGATTATTTCTTAATTCTTGTTTATTTTTCTCAAATATTAGATATATTTTCATTTTTTACTTTTAAATCAATCTATAGGTACATAAAATCATTACTTTAGTGTAATATTTATATACATTAAGCTTTGGTTTTTATTAACATATAGAAACAACATTATCAACCTATTATAAAATGAATGAAAATACATATGATGTACATTCAGTTGGCAAATTATGTTGTAGAACCGTGTCCACCTTGCAAGGTGGACAAAATTCCAAAACTGTTCATAATTGTGAATATAAAGTTCAAAAATTATCAACATAGAGATCTATAATTATGAACATAGAGTTCTGTAATTGTGAATATAGAGTTCAATAATTGTGAATATGAAGTTCAAAAATTATGAACATAAAGTTCAATAATTATGAACATAGAAAGGTGGACACAGTTCCACAGAATAACAATTGCATTTAGTTTAGGATTTTTGGACATTACAACTTATGTTTATAGACATATAGAATAAATATTAAAATAAATTTCACTTTTAGTCCACTGACTATTATACATGAATCACATTTGGCCCTTGACTATTAAAATTTTATAATTAAGTGCATGATTATGTAATTTGTATCACGTACATTTGGTCCCGCCATCCAATTTTCTTGTCACTCTTTACCTTTAATTTGAATATTTGATTTGCTCTTTTATTGTCTAGGGGATGCAGACACTTACTTAAACCTTCTTTAAAAAAAAAGAGTCGATGGACTAAAAGAAATTTTAAACGCTCATAAGGGTCCATTTACGAGTCAGGGCCATAAAGGCCTAAATGAGATCCTAACAACGTCATGACTGTCCGGTTTGAAAGCAAACAACTGAGCGTCGTTTTACCCAGCTAACCACAAACACATTAGTGCCTAGTGCAGAGTTAACCACAGCACGTCAGATTATTCAGTAAGATATGGATTGATGTTTGAGCCCTCGCTTCACTAAAAAAAAGTAGGTTCCTCGTAAACTCCGTTAGCTAGGCGCCCATTTATAATTATATGATAAGGGCTAAGGTTCCCCTCCGCCCAGGCGCATAGAGTGTCCACATTTTTCTTTGTTCCGATTGAGTTCGCTTTGTTTGGGATGAACTCACAAAGACTCGATCCAAGGACTTCCCTCGTAGAGGTTGCAGGTGCCAATACAAATACCATGATTAGGAAACCCAAGGCCAATGCTCGCTTCGTTCCCGAACTATTGAGTTACGTGATCAAAGTCAAAGCCTAGAAAGCCACCAACCATCGATTCTCGTAGTAGGCTGGACCAAGATCCAGCCGAGAGATGGCAGTCTTTAGAAAAATCAGGTTGGGAAAGCAAGAGAACGCTTGGCGTTTTCTTATTTCGTTGAGTTGCAGGCGGATACGATCGGCATTGTACACAGGCTTTGCTGCGACGAGGATGCCTTTTCTAATCGAACAACGTTTTCGAACTCAACACCAACAGCGAAAATGCCGACATCTACTCAAACAAGAATGCTAAACTTAAGGAAGGATCTTTGTCAAAGATTCTGGTTTCAAACCCCGGTTCGAACATGAGGAGTACGCCATGCTAATGTGCCTTGGATGATCCACATGGAGTTTTTTTCTGGATCGCCGCTTCAAGTATTGGTCCCGTTGGACTTTTTATGTCCGGATTTGGATCAAATAACAAATATTCCTAATTACTTCTCTGATGCCAATGATCCTCGCAAGAAAGCAAGGTTCAGAGTGGGAATAAGATTCATCTGGACTTCGTTTCGGTTTATTCACTAATATGAAACTTAGCACTTGTTTTCTTATTGATTCCAAGGGCGGTGTCTCAGGGGCATCTCTTTAGCATCATAGCGCAAGGAGCTTACCCGATCTTTGACTAAGGATTTTTTTGAAAAACCCAAAACCTACCGGCTTTGACAGTGGCCGGACGCCATCAGAGTCGCAACTCTACCGCTAATATTGGAACACAGAGACCGGCTTTTGGGATCTTCTCTCCGGGGGAGTGTCTTTATTCCCTCTAAAGGGTGGCAGATATGTGTGGGGGATTTTTTTATATTTGATGAAATCTCAAAGAGTCCAACGATGGTGTGAAAACACTTCCAGATGTCGAATTCCAAAAACCAGCGAGAGGTTCCCCACTCTTCTTTGATCCGAGAAACAATAAAGAAAACCCCCTTAACAATCCCCGGTGGTCGGGATCAAAGCAGAGCTTTTGCGAACGAACACAAAGGTCAAAGGCTTTATTATTGAGAAAGTAAAAGGAGGTTCTTCAGTAGCCATCGCAGGTTTCATTACTTTTCTTCGCATCGATTGCGTAATGTTGGGCTAGCAACCCGACCGAAACAATCGCCTGGGGATCCAATCCATTCGGGGAACCCAAAAACGAAGTATTTTGATTGAGAATCAATGATAGATAGATTGGCGCTGTTAAGGTCACGCCGAACCTATCAATTTTTTTTTTTTTTTTTTTTTTTTGAGTTGGATGTCTTAGGCTGTCCTTATCCCAGCCAAACTCTCCTTTGCAAAGTGATGTGGCAAAGCCACATATACATTTTTTATTTTTTTTTTAATGAAATGGGTTTGCAAATTTGCAAACCCTGAAAAAGCTGCCGCGGCTGTACTGCGGCTGCCGCGGCAGCTTTTGTATATTTTTTTTTAAAATTTTATTTGATTTTTGTACTTTTTAATATTTTAATATAATTAATAATGTTATTTTAATATATTGGGCCCACTTTTGAAGATTGATTAGATTTGTAGGGATGTAGTGTGAATAGTAGATGATTTGCAAATGGGATGATGTGGAAGTGGGACCCATTTTTGAGAGTGGGAGATGTTTGCAGGGATAAGGACATCCTTAGATTCATTCAGACAGATTTTTTCTAACTCCGGATTTCCCTTTAGGTGGTCTAACAAGGCGTTAACCGCCAACTCAACCACTTCTTCGGCTTGTTATTTAAGTTAGTATTATTCAATCACAAAATATTAAATATTTGTTATATTTAACTAGTATTTTCACTCGTGCGATGCACGAAATGGATTAGCTATAATATTTTAAGAATATCTTGATTGATATATAATTATATAAATTACTAGTTTTTTATGCTCATTGCGCGATTGGGATAATGCCCAATATTTTTTTTTTTTAAATAAGTACTTTAAAGTATATCAAGGTAAGTACTTTAGCTCATTTTACATGTTAATCTAAACAATTAATTTTTTGAAATATTTTTTTTACCAACCGTTGATATAATTCGCTAGTCAAATCCGCTAACGCTAACCGCTAACTGCTGATTGTCAAACAAGGACATTGCGAGGTAGTTCTCACTTCAATTTGTTGTGTGATTTGAATACTCTCTTTGTCAACAAATCCCTCAAGTAATTATATGATTGACTTTATTAATTATATATATATTTTTTATTTTTTATGGTATTAATAAAATACTTGGTAAATAAATATATAGCATTATTTTGTATTATAACTTTGATATTTAATTAAAAAATAGTGCCCAAAAAAAGATAGTAGACAATGTAGTGAATATAATCAAATGATGAATTTGAATGTAAAGAATTTGTAAATTGGAGAAATATAAAGACAATATAAATAATAAAATTATTTCTCTAAATTAATTTATTGATAATGACTATTTTTTTTAATAAATACATTGTAGGGACAATGTAACAAATATAATCAATTGATGAATTTGAATGTAAAGAATTTTTATATTGGAGAAAAATAAAGACAATAACTAATGAAATTATTTCTCTTATTTAATTTATTGATAATGAATATTTTTTTTTTTTTTGAATAAAGACATTGTAGACACATAATTCTAAATTAAAGAAATGCATATGTATTATTTTTTGTTGTAGCTACTAAATTATTATCTACAAATTTAATAAGAGTCAATAATGTTAGGCCCATAACTGGAAAAAAAAATGTTGGTAGTAGTTGTTTCTTAAAATGAATGGTTAATATTAGGCAGAAGTGTCAAATAGGCTCATCTGCTCAATTCCCATCACGAATTAAAATATAGTCTAATTAGACACACTTACTTCCTAAAATTGTTTGATTAGTTTTTTTTACAGGTTGCCAATCAAATTGCTGAGATGTAATTTTATTAGAATAAAAGTGTATGGTGAGGTGGAAATTACTTCTTGACAGCAAGAACCCTTGTCCAAACCAAACAATCTTCATCTCGAAGTCCGAGAAGACGATAATCAAAACTCAACACTGACTCACTTGATGCCCAATCTGGCGGCTCATTCACACCATTATTGGAAGCTGGAAACCTTAATGTCTGCAAACTACACACCATTACATGAAGCTTGATGAAAATTACACATTAACGCCTCACTTTAACAATTCGTCGGAAAATTTAGAGAGAGAAAGCTTTAGCGGATACACGCACTCTCAAACATAGGAAAACCTACCCGTCTCTCTGGCTCTGCTTTCAGCATTGTAATCTGCGTTTCAGAGGAACTTGGAAATGATCGCGATTTATGCAGGATTGCTGCTGTTTAATCGATGAGAATTGCGAAGTTTTTGGACCAGAAATTACCGCTACATCCAGAAATTTCAATACATACTGGTACAAATATACAGTACCAGAAGAAGACCACCATCGAGAGAAATCACCTTTTGTTTTTCTTCTTCCCCAAAAACGCCTCCAGGAAACGGAGATTTGCACCCAATCATCTTCATCGCAGCGCGAATCTCAAGAGAATCAGAGAGCAAAACACCGTAATCATTCCTGTAATTATTGACAACGTTTGAGATCAATAGCGTTTGAGATCAACACCGTAATTGCCGACAACGTTTGAGATCAACACCGTAATCATTCATTAATACACCCCTGCTATCTCTTCCTGTAAATCGAACCAGCTGAAAACCAAGTCTTTGCACACACACACATACACCAGAAACAAGTAAAACTCATCTAAAAAGAGCAAAGAGAAGTGAAAACTTTCAGGCACGACATGAAATTTCAACTAAACAGATGATATTTCTAAGAATTTTGACAAAAATTTCAACCAAAGATTATAGAGAAATAAGATAATAATGTGCTCTGAGTTCTGACCTAGAATACAATGCGAAGAACAGAATGAAAACTGAGTCAATTTCGAGATCTTGGATTTGATGGAATTGCCGACAACATTTGAGATCTCAATAGCAGTGATGGGATGCGCCACCGGAATCTCGCCGCCGCCGTCCTCCTCTTCCTCCGAGTCGATGTGTTGCAAATTGTTTTTGTTATTTTTGTTGTTTTAATGACATGTAAGCAATGCCACCTAATCCTAATTTTGTTATTTTAATGCCATGTAAGCAATGCCACCTAATCCTAACCGGGCCAAGTCATCACAAAATCGGAGGTAACCTGCAAAAAATGCTAATTGAACAATTTTTAGATGTAAGTGTGTCTAATTACATTATATTTGAGATGATGGGGGAATTGAGCACTTTGAAGTAGTAGATGAGGCTATTTGACCCATCTGCCTTAATATTATTTTGAGTTTAGTAATTTTTAATGATTTTCCTTATTTACCATCTATTATATTATTTTCTTCCCTAAAATAACCCTAAATTCCGTTAGTATAAAATTTAGTAATGAAATATTCCGTTAACTATTTATTATTCTTAACATACTCATTAATTTATATAAGAAAGGTCTTAGGTTCGAACCTCATCCCAATTAGAGTTGACATAATTGTTAAACATATACTATGACTATGTTAAAATTAAATGTATTAAAAAATATATATAATATAAAATTTAATATAAACTTTGGTCAAATAATTAGCCCGACTAAATACATAGCATTCTACTTGAGCATAAAAGATTATAAATCAGGAACTTTAAAAATCATTTGATTTTCTTGAATTTTTTTTTTTTAAAAAAAAAAAAAACAAATTTAGGTTAAGTTTTTTTTAACGTTTAATTAATCTTCTTTTGATTATTTAGAACAAACTTAATATTTCAATTATGCTTTTGCAATATTGGAATGATTTAGGTCATTATGGTATTAATATTTTTTTGTATTTTTTTATAATGGTACAATTGTACATTACTTTACAAATATTATACTATTATTTTTTTATCGGACAAAATTGTTCTTACATCATTGTCAGACTTGCGCGGCCTAACTACAAAGTTGTTGATCATAAATACAATTACACATGAACTCTAAAATGGTAGGACCATTTTTCAAATAATTGACAATGTTAACATTCTACTCCAATTGAACAAGTTTACATATCAGAATTTTATCAATGCATGAAAATTTCTAAAGAAATTTGTAAGTTAATTTTTACTATATCATTATAACAATATCTATTGTAACCATATATTTTGAATTATTTATTATCATCCTCTATTCACAACAATTGTAGCAATTGTCATTGACAAACTCTCAAAACAATTTGTCTCAACAAGAAATGGAAATTTAAAAAAAAATCATTGATTTCATTATTGTTGATGAAAAGTATGTACGACACTTTATTACTCTTATTAAATTAAATAAATTAGTAGCTACAACAAAAAATAATACATATGCATTTAATTTTTTTTTTTTTGAAAATACATATGCATTTAATTAATTTAGGATTAGATATCTATAATGCTTTATTTTAAAAAAAATTATTCATTATAAAAAAATTTAAAAGAAATATAATTTCATTAGTTATATTATCTTTATTTTCTACAATTCAAAGATTCCTTACCTTCAAATTTATTAATTTATTATATTCACTACATTGTCCAATGTCCTCTTTTTACATTATCTTGTAATTAAATATCAAAGTTATAATACAAAACATGTTATATATTTTTATTTACCAAGTATTTTATACAAATATAATAAATATTAATATTTTGTTCAATACTTTTACATGATGACCAACGACACACATCTCACAACACATGAAACATGTAGGGGGGAACTACTACTACTAAATATCAATAGGTGTTTGTAAGATAAAGAGTTCATATTACAACTAAAATCTCAGTCATATACAAAGCAATGCAAATCTAAAACTTCCTACACCATAATCTCTTTCCATGATGAATCCCTCTATGCTGCCACCAGTAACCTAATGACACATGACACACTACCAACAAAAAATTAAAAAAAGAGATGACATGTACTGAAGATGAAAACAATGTCAATGCTATACAAAAGAAAATTACGATGAATTAGAGAAATTTAAACTAAAAGTAGTATTTATTTAGACTATCGCTTTAAGACTAAATATTTAGACTAGAGTTATTATTACAAAGTTGCAAACATTTATTTTAGTGACAATTATAATCAAACTCTCATATATTATCTTGCATTTATATACTTTAAATTACCTATTTAAATAAACAAATTCAACATTTATTTACCTATGCATAAACATCTCCTATATAATATTACATTGATATACTTTGAAATACTTATTTAAAAATAATCATTGGGCATTATCTCATTCGCGCAAAGCGCGAAAAAAAAAACTAGTTTAATTTAATAAGAGTACGTAAAATAGAGTACTAATTATGTCAACTTTGATTGGGATGTGGTTCGAACCTAAGATCTTTTTATTGAAATCAATGAGTAAGTTAACGGTGAACTAACAGAAATTAACAGAAAAGATAATATTTAACGAAAAAGTTAACGGATAATCATATTCATCAAGGATAAATTAGGAAATCTTAAGGGAAAATTAAAATCTAATCAATCTGAGTCATTCATTTGAATTAAAAAATTTGACCGCCATTTTTTCTACCCATTATAGGCCTAACTCTCTTGAGCTCTTATTAGTATATATATAGTAGATAACATCAAATATTATATAGTGCAATTGAAAAGATGGTTTGGATTAATTATGTTTTGTACTGTTATCCTTGCTTGAGTTCGACATAATAATTATTGAATTAATAGCTAATGTGTAGATGTAAGCATCCGGTGTTGAAACTTTGGGATTTTATATATTAGTGTTTAGCATTTGTATAACTTGAGCAAATGTGCTATTTGAAAAGAATATATAATATCACCTGTTCGAATTACACATTATTGAAAACCTCTTTGTAGACGACATTGGTAGTAGTAACATAATCTTGTTCATCCTCGTCTAGAGCTAACACCTTCAGGCCATCAAGATGGGTGACTCGGGAAAAAGCCACGTACAATTGATAGTGACTAAACATCGATTTTTTCAGCAATAACCAAACATGAGTTAATGTTTGGCCCTAGATTTTGTTGATAGTCATGGCATATGCGAGCATCAATAGAAATTGTTTACGCTGAAACTTGAAGGGCAATCTTGTAATGAACAAATGAAGTAATGAAGTAATGATGTATTCATAAGTGAGCCTATAAAATCACAATCATTTTTTATTATGAAATACACGAGTCATATAAGCTTTCAAACTTGTAACTAAAGTGGAATTGAATCCTTAAATTTAAAAAGTTTTAAAGAGATTATTGAATTTAGGGAAAAAAAAAGTACAATTAGACATTTTTTTATTTGTTTTAGCAGGTAGGCTTACTTGGCATCCAAACCATCATCCAAAATGTTTAAGATAATAATTTTAAAAGATTTTTATCTCTAACAATAAAACTTTTAAATCTTATTTTTTTTAAATAGGGATAATTTTAGTCTCATCATTGCTTCATTACTATCCATTAGTTTTTCATCATTTTGTCACTATCAATTTTTACATTGCTATTGCTACAACATTAATATTATTTTTATAAATACTAAAAAATCAAAATGTTAATAGTAAGAGAAGACCAAATAACAGTTATATATGTTACAATTTTAAACTATAACAATTATACTATAACCACTTTTAATTAATGTTTCTTTAATTTTATTTAACTGAGCATTTGAAAAAAATTAAAATACTTTGTTATATACTCGTTTAATTTTTGTTAATATGCATTTTATTTATTTAATTAAACATTTTCAAACAATAGTAACATTTCTTATTTTAACATCTATAAATTGATAAATAAGAATAAAAATTATAATAATTAATGAAAGACAACAAAATATTTGTACTTTATAATATTGTTTATAAATTTTTAATTAGATAAAATAAAAGATACATTAATAAAAATTATGTGGGTGGACATTTCGATTTGATTTAATTTCTTTAATTTTGGTTTGTTGGCAGTTGTGCTTTATCCTCAGTTGAAAATCTTTCAACAATCATCTTCGTTACATTTTTATAAAGCAGTTGTCTTCTATCTAATGTACTATTCCATTCTACATGTTTTATGGCTTGTTTGGCTATTTTGTGTTTTTGCATCAAAGTTATAAATTTGCTTGTGAATTATTAATGGAGTTCAAATTATTTGAAAGCTGTTTGTCCCTAGATGTAAGGCTTGTAACTCTTCCCGTATGTGTTTAGTTTTATTTATAAAGAGTAACTTTATTACCCGGGGCGCTAGGCCCAAAATAATGTGTACAAAGCCCAAGGTATAGGCCCAGAATGGCGGCCCAAATACAAAGAACAAGGCCCACTGGATGGGCTATAGCTAACTAGGCTACTGAGATGAATCGAACCCAGGTGGCTGGGTTAAAAGTATAAACTAGAGACCACTAGACCGTAGTGCTTGTCGTGTCTGAGTTGCCCTTTGCCAGGAGTCCATGACCCCTATTTATAGCTTGCCCCCTCCTCTTCCAGACTTCTACGTGTCCCACGTTATTCAAACATCACTCCCCATTTCCCGTACACCACCTCGCACGTTCACCACACCTCCAAAACTCCCGCTCTCCTACACGCACCCCCGCACACACGTACACCCCCCAACCCCCAAGCGACCCTCGCTCGGAGACCGCCCCCGCGCCCGGCCGCACGCCGGGCACGCCGGTCGAGCCGTCGCTGGCCCCAGCCAGCGGCCTAGCGCTGGCCAGTCCGGCGACGTGGCACCCCGTCCCCACGATGGGGGCGCCGGGGCCGCGCGCTGGCCGTGCCGTCATCGGTTGGGGCCAGCGCCCTAGCCGGCGATTCCTCCGGCCACATCGCCTACCGGCACGGCCAACCTAGCGACGCAGCGCCCCGTCCCCGCGATGGGGGCGCCAAAGCCGCGCCATCGCCCGCTGGGGCCAGCGCCCCAACCGGCGATCCTTTCGGCCATGTCGCCGGCGGCCGGACGGCCTGGCGACGTGGTACCCTACCCGGCCCTGAGAACCCCTCCACTCCTGGCCCAACATCGCA